AATAGCATATACAAATGGCCAATAAGCATTTTAAAAGATAACTCAATGCTATTGGTCATTAGGAAAATGCAAATCAGATACTTCTGCACACCCCTGGTATGCTTATTATCAGAAAAATGGAAAGTAACAAGGATTGACAAGGATGTAGAGAAATTGAAACACTTCATTACGGGTTGAATGGTACATACCACACACTGTGGGAAACAGTTTCACAATTTATCAGGAAGTTAAACAGAGAACGATAGGTCTCAGCAGTTCTCCTCCAAGGTGTATAAACAAAAAGACTTAAAAGTAGGCAAATAAAAATATGTATATCAATATTCATTTCAGCATTATTCATAATAGCCCAAAAGTGGAAACAAACCAAGTGTCCATCAGTAGATGAATGGACAAACAGGATGTAGTATAGCAATACAATGGAATATTATTTAGCCATAAAAAATTGAAGTTCTAGAAGGTGGGGCTTAATGGCATATTACTGAGCTGTGTGGTGCAAAGCTCTGCAACAAATAGCACAGAATACCGGCTGAAGCAGTTCAGGGGATGGTCCCAGAACTCTGAACTACACATAAAGGAAAATTTAGAAAGTTTGAAGGCTTACAGCCAGTGGAATTTGTAGCAGACACAAGAAACACTATTTTCTGATCCACGGCAGCCAGCCAGCTCCTGAAGCAGCCACCTTGGGCGTGACAGAGCGGGTGAAGGGCCAGAGAAGTGTCTGACTGCAGACTTCTGCTGATCTTCAGAGATAAAAATGTGGACATTCCTTTTTTTCTCTCCTTTCTCTGTTCTTTGGTCTGTCACTGTCTGCACACCTCCACTCTGGTGACTAGAGGGGGTGCCTGAGCATATGGACTGCCCACCCCCAGAGGGTTCTATTACGCATTATGCATGCCCACGGATCTGCCCAGACTTGCAGAAGTGAAAGGGGTCACCAGGAACTGTTCAAAACGGAGCAGTCTCCCAGAACGGCCCCAGCCAGCCGGGAAAAGAGCGTTAAAGCCTTACTCATTTATTGCTACAGATTTTTTTTTTCCTTTTATGCGATTATAGACTATAGTACCAAATTTGTTTTTCTTGTCATTGTTTTGTTTTTTGGTCCCCTTTTTACCTTCAGGGTGCTCTTTCTATCCTGACATTACCCAAGAAGAGACAGCAATTGTGGTAATATAGCCAACCTGCAATCACACCCTGTAAAATCCCACCATCAAGGCAAGAGCCTCTACCAGCTACTATACACCAGATAGACAGCCAACACCTGCTACAGTTACTCTAGTTGAGTAATAATAAGAAAATTGAAAAGGGAAGCCCATCTCCTGATCACATACACCTGAAGGCAATCAGAAACCTCAATAAAACATCAACATACATTCATTTAATTATTGAAGACCTAATTATTGAAGATGTCCAAGAAACAATTGACCATTTTGGCACATGTCCAGAAGCAGGATAGAGTAACTACGCATATGAGCTGATTGATGATAGACCTAGACTTTCCATTGGAAGGATGGCAGGCCTTGGAACTGCCTGAAAAAAATTGAAGTTCTATTACATGCTACAGCACAGGTGCACCTTGAAACATGCTAAGTAAAATAAGACAGACACAAATGGCAAATATTGTATGAACTCACTTACATGGAATATCTGAAGTAGGCAAATGCATAGAGTCCAGAATTTATTATTGATCCCCAGGGGTTGAGGAGAGAAAGAAATGGGGAATTTTTGCTTCAGTGGTATTCAGTTGGAATGATGAGAAACATTTGGAAATAGATAGTAGTGGTTGTTGAATGCTTTTTATTTTCATGTTTCTTCTTGTCTCTTTCTATCAACATATGCACATACATCTTAACTTGTTGTTGATAGATGCCACGTCATTTCTAACCCATAACAACCCTATGTACAACAGAATGAAGCACTGCCCAGTCTTGTGCCAGCCTCACAATTGCTGCTGTGCTTAAGCCCATTGCTTCTGCTACTGTGCCAACTCATCTAATTGGGGGTCTTCTTCTTCCCACTGACCATTCACTTTATCAAGCATAATGTCCTTCTCCAAGCACTGGTCCCTCCTGATATGTCCAAAATATGAGAGATGAAGTTTGGCCATCTTGACTTCCAAGGAGCATTCTAGTTATACTTCTTCCAACACATATTTGTTTGCTCTTCAGGCAGTCCATGGTACTTTTAATATTCTTCTCCAACAACTCAAATGCATGAATGTTTCTAGGGTCTTTCTTACTCATTGTCTAACTTTCACATGCATATGAGGTTATTGAAAATACTACGGCTTGGGTCGGTTGTATCTTAGTTCTTAAACAGACATATTTGCTCTTCAAAACTTTAAAGAGGTCTTATGCAGCAGATTTGACTAATGCAATATGTCATTTGATTTCTTGACTGCTGCCATATGTGTTGATGGTTATGCTGAGCAATAACATTGACAGCTTCCATCTTTTCTCCATTTATCGTAATATTATTTATTGGTTCAGTAGTAAGGATTTTTGTTTTCTTTACATTGAGGTGCAACCCATACCAAAGACTGTGGTCTTTGATATTCATCAGTAAGTATTTTAAGTCCTCTTTGCTTTCAGCAAGCAGGATTGTATCATTTACATATCACAGGTTTTTAATGAGTCTTTCTCCACTTGTGCAACTGATGCCACGCTCTTCTTCATATGATCCAGTTTCTCAAATGAGTTGCTCAGCAGATAGACTGAATAAGTATGGTGAAAGAATACAACAGTGGCACACACCTTTCCTGATTTTAAACCACTCATTGTCCCGTTGCTCTGTTTGAACAACTGCCTCTTGGTCTATGTATAGGTTCCTCATGAGCACAATTAAGTGTTCTGGAATACTCATTCTCCACAGTGTTCTCCATAGCTTGTCATGATCCACACAGTCTTTCCATAGTCGATAAAGCACAGGTAAACATCTTTCTGAAATTCTCTGCTTTCAGCCAAGATCCATGTGATATCCCTCATTCCACGTCTTAATTTTAATCTGGCTCGAACCTCTTGCAGTTCTCTGTCAATGTACCATTGCAGCCATTTTTAAATTATCTTTAGAAAATTTTTCTTATATGTGGTATTAATAATATTTTCTGATGCTTTCTGCATTCCATTGGGTCACCTCTTTTTGAAATGGACACAAATATGGATCTTTTTCAATTTGGCCAGGTAGTTGTCTTCCAGATTTCTTGGTATTGATGAGTGAGTGCCTCCAGTGCCACCTCACTTTGTTGAAAGATTTCAATTTGTATTCCATCAGTTCCCAGTGCCTTGTTCTTCGCCAATGCCTTCAGTTCAGCTTGGACTTTCTGGCTCTTGATCATATGCTACCTCTTGAAATGGTTGAACATCGAGCATTTCTTTTTGGTACAGTGACTCTGTGTATTCTTTTCATCTTCTTTTGGTGTGTTCTGTACCATTTAATATTTTGTCCAAAGACTCCTTCAGTATTGCAAGGTGAGGCTTGAATTTTTTCATCAGTTCTCTCAGCGTGAGAAATGCTGAAGGTGTTCTTCCCTTTTGGTTTTCTAACTAAAGATCTTTGCACATTTCATTGTAATATTTGAGTTAGTCTTCTCAAGCTGCTCTTGAAATTTTCAGTTCAGCTCTTTTATCTCCTCATTTCTCTCTTTGCTTCAGCATCTCTATGCTGGAGAACATGTTTCAGAGTCTCTTCTGACATCTATTCTGGTCTTTTCTTTCTTTTTTGTCTACTTAGTGACCTTTTGCTTTCTTCCTGTATGATGCCTTCTCACAACTCACAACAGATTAATGCATCAAATCTGTTCTTGAGATGAACTCTAAGTTCAGGTAGGATTATGTTCAAGGTCATATTTTAGTTTTAATTTTCTTCAGCTTCAGCCTGAGATTACATACTACGTATGCAATTTTGTAAATTTTTAACGTGAAGGATGTCATATGGTGCAATGGGTTAAGCATCAGGCTGTGAAATTTAAGGTAGGCAGTTCAAACCCACCAGGCATTCTGAGGGAGAAAGATGGGTGTGTCTGCTTTGATTGAGATCTCCAGTCTCAGACACCCTCGGGAGCAGCTGTGCTCTGGCCTGTAGGGGTGCTATGAGCTGGAGTCAACTCAACAGCAGTGATTTTGGAGTAATTTTAAACCCATCAAAAGTAATATTTATAAAGAGTGGATATTCGTCATGATTATTACTTTAGCCTGAATAATATTTTATCAAAAGGATAGAACATTATTTGAATCCTTGTATTATTGATCTTTTGGTGGTAGGTTTTTTGTTTTGTTTTCCTCTCTCTTTTTCACTATTATAAGCAACTTGAGTTAAACATACATAAATACTTATTCATTTCTTAGGTATGTTTCTAGAAGTGAAATGATCAGGTCAATACATATGAAAATGGTTAAGAATTGCCTTTCATTTTAAAGCAAATCATATATGGGTTGTTAAAGAATTAATGACACAGGGACAGTTTATAATATTGTCATTGTTAAGTGCTTACAAGTGGGTTCCGACTCATAGTTACACTGTGTAGGGTTTCTGAGGAGTAGCTGGTCATTTGAACCACTAATTTTGTGGTTAGCAATCCAGTGCTTATCCTGTAGCATCACACCAAGACTAGGTATTTTTTTAATATGTGGATATGTAGCTAGTCAAATTCAGTTAATCTCTGCAAGCAGTAATAAGAATTGATTGAGTCTAAGCTTTTATAAATGAAGTTCTGGTGTGGTGCTGGACTGTAAAGTTGCTTTGAACTGCAAGGTCGGAAACCCTATACAGAGTCACTATGGGCTGGAAGCAACTCAATGACACTTAATAACAACAAGCCTTTTACATCAGGCACCAGGGTGCATTTCTTCCTTCTGTTTCCTACTACTTAAGACAGAATTCTGGACATGTAACTGAGCCCAGTTACAAGCTGTCAGACAAGTACACAAACCCATCTTGTTTGGGACTGACTGTTTACCCAGTTGCTCCCAATATTCACATTTTCATTTTATTTCCTTTTCTTTCAGATGGAATGGGCCGAGTCCTTGCTCAAGATGTATATGCAAAAGATAATTTACCCCCCTTCCCAGCATCAGTAAAAGATGGCTATGCTGTCCGAGGTAAGTGTTTCTGTTTTCTTGAATATCATCAGACTCACACTGTATATTTCCAGCCCTTTGCTTCAGCTCAGGCACTCAGCAGTTGTGGAATCTGTTCCCCCTTTGATCATCAGAACAAATCCACTCACAGATAACCACATTAATATATACCTATGTATATTCTGACTTAACCTTAACTAAAACTTTTTTAGTGGAAGTACCAGGTTACACAAAAATTCTTGCGTACAAATAAATGCTAGGGAACTTCAAAAAGTTCATGGAAAATAGAATGAAATAAAGATACTATACTGTAATTTACCCCTCTACCCCTACACATGCCAGGTAGTAAACAGTCTTGGTCAGGAGGGTTTCCAAATGCTTTCTGAATGAAAACATTTACTTGGTCTAAGAGCAAATTCCCAACACAAGGACATAGTGAAGTTATCTGTTCTCCTGCTTTAAACTCAAGCATCTGTAAAGAACTGCATGCAATCAGTCAGAAGGGAAATACCTAATTACCTGGAAGGTGCCATCTTTCAAAACTCTAGAGCCCCTGATGGTAATGACAACTCGAGCCCTTAGACTTGCCTGAGATTGTTTAAAGCTTAAAAAAGCAAATACTAAGTAGCATTTGCCTGCCTAAAATTCTATCTAAGAGTCCAAAATGAAAATGCAATTGAATTGCTTAGACATTAATACCAAAAACCAACTGCCATTGAGTATAGCGTTCCTGTTTAGGGTTAAGTTTTTATGAGAGCAGAAAGCCTTATCTGTCTCCCATGGAGCAGCTGGTGGGTTTGAACTGCCAATCTTGTGGTTAGCAGTAAAGTGCTTATCCTACCAGAGGTCCCTTATTGTTGTTGTTGCTGTTGAGTGCTGTCAAGTCAGTTCCAATTCATAGTGCCCCTGTATAGGGTCTCCAGGGAGTGGTTGGTGGATTTGAACCACCAGCCTTCCAGTGCTTATCGTACAGTTCCATGCCAGGACTTGGGTTCCTTTAGACACTAATATTGGTTATTAATTTAAGGCTGATATAGCTAAAGAAATGCCTAATAATATTTTCTGTTTATCAAACCTGTTAAGGTAGGTCAGTTCCTCTATAACGGTCAGTGATGGAACCTTTTACTGGGTGGTTTGTGGTTTGTTTGTTTTTTGAATACATCTTGCCATTAAAATGGAGTCCTGGTGTAGCACTGTAGAATAAGCACTCAGCCACAAAGTCAATTTGAACCACAAGATCGGTAGTTCAAACCCACCAGCTGCTCCTTGGAAACCTGTACAGGGTCGCTATGAATCAGAAACCAACTGGACTGCACTTAACATCAACAACAACAAAAGCCATTAAAATAATTTCCTCATTTTTGTTATTGAATACATTCATTCCATCACCGTCTCTTAAAAGTTTTTTTTTTTGTTGCTGTTGTCATTGCAGATAGTTTACAAATGATTAAAGTTAAGGGCTTTGAGCAAAGCCACAGTGATCTGGGTTCTAGCATCAGTGCAAGTTTTGTAACTTAAGCTTAAACTTTTTGAGTCTGAGTTTTCTCTTCTCTAATTAACAGTATTTATCCAACATGATGCTGTGAAGATTAAATGAGGCCATATAAAGCCATAGTGAAGTACCTGGTACATACACACACACAAATAGCACTAATTATTTTTTAAATGTTTAATAATACCCCACTGTCACTGAGTCAATCCCAAGTCTAGTGATCCTGTTGGATAGAGTAGAACTGCTCTATGGGGTTCCCCAGACTATAAATATTTACAGGAACAGGCTAATTTTTCTCTTGCAGAGTGACTGGTGAATTTGAACCATCAACCTCACCATGTCTCCTTGTGGTTCAAATCAGCCTTGTAGTCTAGTGTATTATACTATTATCCCATTATTCCCTAATCCAATAGCGCATCATCAGGACTCCCCTTGTTTAATTACATACCTAATATTACTATTATTTATTATTATTGTAAAAGAATAACACTTGTGTGAATTATTATTATCATACACTAAGAACTGGACTGTGAGCCACAAGTTCCATGAGTATAGCCCACTAGCTGCTCCATGGAGAAAGATGAAGCTTTCTGCTCCCATGAAGATTTGTAGCCTCAGAAACCCTATGCAGGGTCTCTGAGTTGGAACCAACTTGACAGTACTTAACAACATTCTTTGTGAAATAAATGATAGGAGAGCTACTTCATTATTGTAATTTCTACTAGCGTATTTTTTCTCAGGAAAGCTATCTTGGTTGAACTATATTCAGCTAAGCATTTGATCTCACTAGATTAGAATACTTCTGAAATTGGTAAAGCCAAAGTATAAATAACCAATCTCCAATGTTTGTTGTTTTTCCCCTATTGTATTTCTTCTGCAGTGTTTATTATAATGAATACTGTCCAAAGAGAAAATTGTTTTATTCTCCTGATAGCTTCTTCTTAATTTTAAGTCTTATTTATTTCTTATTAAGAATTTACTTTCTGCTAAAAAGTAAATTCTGTTTTGATCTTATAATTTGTAGTTATATGGACTCAAAATTAAATTCACTGTCATCAAGTCAATGCCAACACTTAGCGACAGTGTATAAGACAGGCTAGAACTGCTCTGTGGGTTTTCTAACACTAGATCTTAGCAGGAACAGCCGTATCTTTCTTCCTTGGAGTAGCCAGTGGGTTTGAACCACCAATCCTACAGTTAGCAATCCAATGCTTAGCCCACACCACCAGGGGCCCTCATAGTCATGTTGTTGTTTTTGTTGTGGGTCATCGAGTTGGTTTTGACTCATACCAACCCTATAGAGGCTTTCTGAGAGCAGCTGGTAGGTTTGAACTGTCAACCTTGCAGTTAACATCCAGTGTTTGTCTTGTTGTTGTTAAATGCCATCAAGTCGGTTCCAAGTCATAGCAACCTTATATGGGGTTTCCAAGGAATGGCTGGTATGTTCGAACTGCCAACCTTGCAGTCTAGTGCTTATTCTACAGCACCACACCAGGACTGCATGTTTATCCTGTTACTATAAAATGACAAAGAAGTCTTACTTCCAGAGTATAGCAAACAACTACAGCAGATGAAACAGCCAAATGACAAAAAATCGACTTTTTACATTTTTATATCATAAACCAGAAGAGGGTAAGAAAATAAATCATTTAAGGCAGAATTACTCTCAAACAGAATGCTGTTCTGTGATTTTTGCATGAGGTACTAACAGCTCAATAAAAAGAGGCTGTGTTTCTCTGAGCTTTTCTTATTGCCAAAAAAGACAGTTAGTCCACATGAGCCATAATAGAACCTTTCTGCTTCTGTTGAAAATTACCATTCAGTATCTTATTTTTTTTTGTTTTGGAATAGTGGTATTTTTAGTTATTTCACACAAAAATGTCTAAAACGACATAGTATAAAAAATAGATTATAGCTGATTCACATAATTTCTTTCTTGTTGAATGCAGCTACTTTGCTTAGATATACAGTAGATAAGCATTGTCAATATGGTTAAGTCTCAAAACAAGAACAACTGGTGTGTCTATATATTGACATAACTGAGGCAGCAAAACTCATCACTGGACAAAGAGGCATGGGCTAATAGTAGCTTAAAATCTTGCTGAATTTTTCAGTTACATCTTTCCACCCTTGTCTGTAATTTAGGAAGACAAACTCTATGAATCCTGAAAGTCCTTTTTACCATATTCAGAATTACAGTGGTTCTCATTTCTTTGCAGATTAGTGCATTCACTAGTCTCTTCTGTGTTTTGGTAAAGAGTATCCTTACAGCAATCTGTTGTGGCTCTCTACCATTCTCGACTGCCTGTGCCTCCTTCTCTCCACCCATCTCTTCCTTGACTCCTGTTCCTTTCTCCCCATCCCCTTTATTCTTCCTTTTTTTTCTTCTCCTCTACCTTTGCCTTAGGCCTTCCAGTAATAACCAGTGGCACCTGTGAGCATTGCTAACCCTCTAGGTGTAAAGAGGTTGCTAACTTGCTCTGGATCACTAAGCATTAGCCAATATCCTTCAGAAACATATGGGATAAAACTCCAAAGCAGTTGGAGGACCATTTGCTTTAAGGTATGTGGGTTGAAACCTCAAGACAATAATTAAGTGATTAAAGAACAAGCTCTATGTGCGTGTATATATGTATATATGCATATATATGTAAAAAATTGTTTCTATATAACATATATATTATATAGGAACAGTTTTTTTAATAGAATAAGAAAGAATACATGTTTAAAAAAATAAAACAGGAATCAAGTGGTGATCCAACAGGAAGACCTATGTATAATAAACCCCAAACTGCAATCAGAAAGAAATGAATTTGAGAAATAAAATCAGAAAAAAGAAAATGAAAATTGCATAATTCCTATTAGAATTAGTATACTATTTTTATTTTCTATGTTCTTAAAGATTTGTTTCTCTCTTCTCACTGAAGAAGCTCATTGTCTTCTTTATGTCTTCATTCCCTCCCTTAGAAATATGGGCTCCCATTGCTTTATAGTCTTTAAATGTAGTAAAGGCAAAAATATCTTAGAATCCTAAGTTCAGCTTTCCTGCAAAAATTTCCATTTGAAAGGCTTATCTCTTCAGAACTTATCTCTTGGAATCACTTTTAAGAATTGGAATATTTTGATCAAACCAGGAATTGACTTTAAGAATTATGTGTATTATACAATTCTGCAAGGAAAAACCCCTGCCATTTGTATAAGGTGAATTTAATTATTTTTTCCCTTTTACATGCTACATGAAATATGAGGGAGCTTCAAAAAAGTTCTTGGGAAAATTCTCTTACCTTATAATTCCATTTTTACACAAACTTTTTGAAGCTTGTAGAAAACAAAAAAGAATATTTAAAAATTACCCATATCACATTGTATCAACAGAACTTCCAGACTAAAACAGACTAGGAAGAAGGAAAGGTGGACTACTTCTGAAGGGTTAGTCACTGAAAACCCTATTAATAGCAACAAAACATTGTCAGATACAATCCCAGAAAATGAAAATATTATGCACCAGAATATTGTCCAATATAGTGCT